AAAGGACCAGAACTTCAGTACCACCCCTGCAACTCAGGACCTGAATTAGAGGGCACAGTAAAAAACCCCTGCAACTCAGGCCCCTCTGTAAATAAAAAACTTAATAGTTTTTTATTTACTATTTTCTTTTATTTTACACACAATTCCCCCACTTTTCACGTGTCACCCACACGTGTACACATCCCATTCTTACTCTTGCAGCTAGTGTAGCTAGAAGAGTTCTGCTCTTGGCATCACTCAGCCTGACAATCCTTCTCTCCTGTCTAGACATGAAATAAAAGACACATTGGTACTAGAACCTTTCTCTCAGGAGCTATTGAGCCCCTTTGCTAGTACTATTCCGACGGACAGTGAAGGACTCGACGGAGTCCTTACAGTAGAGTAGTTTACTATGATAGTTTGCATGAAATGAACCGCCAGCATTCTGTTTTTAGTGAGACTCAGAGGTACCCGTGCTCAGTACACGGGTACCCACCCCAGACCCCTCAGGCGTGTCCAGGTCCAGGTCCAGGTCCAGGTGTATGTTATGGGCCAAAAAACCAGGTGGTACCTGGACATGCCGCGGGTACCCGGGTCTGACTGTTGCATCTCTACATTTCATATGCCCATGCTCTCACTGGAACGGCACACATAGCAGCCAAGCAGAAGACAAACAATGATGATGTAATAGGTGTGGTAAGTTGCTACTGTTTTTTTGCATATCAGCCCAGGCAAGCAATATAATATTCATTCAACACTTTGCTAATCATTCCAAAATTTCAGGTTGATCCAAAAATATTGGGGATAACGCCAGCTCAACAACTACAAGTCAATGAAACAGCAGATAAAATGCTCAAAATCCACATTCACTTTGGACCCTTTCCATGATTTTAAATCTGTTGATCAAAATAAATTGTTTCAGTATTCAAAATTTATGTAGCTACATGAGAAGATTAAAATATTCAATCTGAACTGTCTTGCTGACCATTGGAGGGAGGCTCATAAGGCATGCAGTGTTCATTCCAGATCAGGGAGTGAAAGGTAAGTGATAATTACTTATGTAGAACACAGGTATGTATTTGATAGATAAGTAATTAACAGATAAGATAAATGTAAGGTAAATAAGATAAGATAAGTTAATGATAATAATAAGATAACAAGAGGTAAAGGTAATCAACATTATGGATAAGTACTTATATACATAAGTACAGGTGTTGCAGTTACTTGGTACATGAAAGGTACTGTGACATGTACTCTGTGGCTGACAAATGTCGATGCCTATACCCAAACCATGACCTTATCAGACTCAACCCCCATCAGGCGCACTCCTTTGCTCCTGCTTAAAGTAAGTCCCTGTTAATATTTATCCTCTGTAACCGGTACTTCCGATTGTGATTGCCATTTGCATCCTTTAGACATACATTCGATCGCAAGACGCTGCGTTTCACCGGGACTACCTCCCACCTGGATACCCTCAGAGCCTTGATGCTTGTCTTACAGTGGTTGAAAAAATGCGCAGACTTATGAAAAGTGAAAAGGGCCTTCTACGCACTCTAGTAAGCATTTTAATTCCGGAATTCCCAAATTTATCCCATCTGACCTGATGGTACTATGAAGCTCCTCTACAACATCAAGGAAATGAATCACCGGCCTATCGACGGCGCTTTTCCAAGCTTGGATGCCCTGGTTGTTGTGGTAAGTTATGCCATCTGACATGTCTCCACAACTTCCACTCTGACACTTCCCCACCAGATCGATCACAATATGGCCTCGCGCAAACAGTTGAGAGCCGTAGACGAGATACAACGAAGTTATCCTGACAATGTCAAGACACGCCTGGCTTTTTTGCGCCTCTATACCGTTGTACACCTCATTCATCGAGACCCCACACAGAACATATCGCAGTGGGAGATGATTGACCAACAAATTGAATATGTCAAGAAACAAAGCGATCTTTACCGTATTGCGTACGCCTTGGCCATCTTTGTTTGATTCCGACAGTATTTTTCACAACTTTCTTGGTGGGTTTTTGTAGGTATGGTCGGGTAGTCCGAGCAATTGACCACGAGCTTTTTGGCCAGAAGAAGAATTTTGATTGCATCAACCATGAAGAGATCCGAGTTCCCAGTGAGGAAGATGTAGAGGAAGAAATCCGCCGCATGTCTACTGGGGACCGAAGTGAAGGCCAATCCAACCCTTTTGGTTGAGGGTGTGGACCTACCGGTGTAATTCCCCAACACAACCATTTTGCCTTCTGTTTCCTTCTGCTCACCCTTACTTCAAAAAAAAAGAGTAGTGGAACAGCTACATGGGTAGTCGACAAGTGTATACGTTTTGAATTTCCTTGCGGCTCAAACACTACTGCCTTCAATATTGTTTCTACCTACACACTACTCATTCTCACAAGAAACATCGCCCAGCACAATGGCCAAGTGGGGCCTAAAGTTTATTTCTCTTTTTAATCCGCCTTGATTCAACTGAAATTACACATACTGTTGCGATCTGAGCCCCCAATGTGAAAGTGTGAGAATCGTCCGATTCTGATCACTGCACGACATCCACCTGAGGTAGCCGCGGGGTCTGTGTGAGGATGTGACCCGGCACCATTTCCCCAGCGGACTGGAATATCCAAGTCCATGCAAAGTATGCGTTTCTCGGATTTAGATACGGATAAACCGATCCCTCATCCGTGACGACGAATCCGATGCAATCCGGTAGACCTCATCTTGTTGCGGTTTTAGATGGCGTGGCTTTTTTGCTGGTCGGCGCGACTTTACCGCAATTTTCCCGGTTACTGGGGGGGATTTGTCGATAGTATAGCCGGTATGAATTCAGCGGTCAAACTGGTCATAGGTTCGACCGCCATTTAACCCTACATGTCTGCTGGGGTCAAAAGGGTAAATTTTCCGGTGAATTCGGGGGAAAATTGCGGTCGAACTTGGGCGCCTGTGTAGGTTATTTTGCATCTAAATCAAGAATATAAAATAATATTCCAACTTTTGCTTAAGTTTCAGAAGTTATTTGTAGATTCTTGTTAAAAATGTTTATTTATAAATTTTTTTGGTTCATTTTTATGTTTTCTTTTATGACTAGTAAAACTTAATTTAATTAGTAATAATGTCACTATTAGTGGTGTATTGGTGAGCAGAGGAATGACAGTCGTGTTTTATTCCAAGAATGGGAAAATATTGCCTGGGGTTCTCAATTGGTTCAATGAAGGGATCAAGGATGCAAACTTATTGAACAAGAGGAGAAGGGTCAAAGAGATATTAGTAGAGTAGTTTACAGAGATATTGGTAGAGTAGCTTACAGAGATAGTAGTAGATGTAAGCCCTGCTCCTCACAGGCTTACACAACCATGTCACAAGATTACATAAGCTGTTTCTGCTTTGTATTTAGTCTCAGCTTTCCCCTTTACCTAGACGGCAGAGATCCTTCTCTCCTGTCTAGGTAAGCACCCTGTCTTCATTCATTCTCTTCTCATTTCCTTTCCTCCCTTTCCTTCACTTGTAGATACTAATGAGAGATCCTTCTCTCCTGTCTAGACATGAAATAAAAGACACATTGGTACTAGAACCTTTCTCTCAGGAGCTATTGAGCCCCTTTGCTAGTACTATTCCGACGGACAGTGAAGGACTCAACGGAGTCCTTACAGTAGAGTAGTTTACTATGATAGTTTGCATGAAATGAACCGCCAGCATTCTGTTTTTAGTGAGACTCAGAGGTACCCGTGCTCAGTACACGGGTACCCACCCCAGACCCCTCAGGCGTGTCCAGGTCCAGGTCCAGGTCCAGGTGTATGTTATGGGCCAAAAAACCAGGTGGTACCTGGACATGCCGCGGGTACCCGGGTCTGACTGTTGCATCTCTACATTTCATATGCCCATGCTCTCACTGGAACGGCACACATAGCAGCCAAGCAGAAGACAAACAATGATGATGTAATAGGTGTGGTAAGTTGCTACTGTTTTTTTGCATATCAGCCCAGGCAAGCAATATAATATTCATTCAACACTTTGCTAATCATTCCAAAATTTCAGGTTGATCCAAAAATATTGGGGATAACGCCAGCTCAACAACTACAAGTCAATGAAACAGCAGATAAAATGCTCAAAATCCACATTCACTTTGGACCCTTTCCATGATTTTAAATCTGTTGATCAAAATAAATTGTTTCAGTATTCAAAATTTATGTAGCTACATGAGAAGATTAAAATATTCAATCTGAACTGTCTTGCTGACCATTGGAGGGAGGCTCATAAGGCATGCAGTGTTCATTCCAGATCAGCTTCAGGAAAGCAACACCTATTTGATATATCCATTGATTCAAAGAATTCCAGGAGGTGAGAAAATCAGTGTAAACCTCTTCAGTACTCTTCAGCATCTAAGTTCTTCAGATTCTGTGCATGTGACCAGAGTAAGTTGTAGGGGGAAGTCTTCAGTGTCTTCTCAATTTGACTACTGGATGGCTGGGATTGATTTGATGGGGTAAGGTTGTTGCTGTTGGTGATTCAACTAACAGAAGGATGCGTAATTTTTGCACTATTAAGGATTTCCTCCAGTATTTGTTTCAGCTGAGCCAGTCCTTCAAAATCTTTCATTTTCATTTGCCATTGGTGGAGCGACAATGACATCTGCAATGAAATCCAATTAGATCAGCCTCTTCCTAGAGGATGTGTGCCACTCAACTTACTGGATCAGGAGCACACCTGTGTCAATTAAATTCTTTGGCTTCAAGCCGAAGAAAAAACCGGCAACATCTTCCGCTTGAAGCCGAAGCTTCTGCTGGGCTGGGTGAGCTGCTCTGAGCTGGCTCACCCAGCAGACTAGATTTCCAAAATCAAAACCAGAGACAAAGTCTCTGTAGTTCAATGGTTTGCACTGGCCCCAGAATCTGCCCACCCATTAGGTTGTGGGTTCAAATCCCACTGGCCCCTTCCCCTAATGGGGGTTAGGGGGCAGGTTAGGGGGCAGGTTTTTGGGGGCAGGTTTTTGGGGGTTAGGGTTAGGGGGTTAGGGTTAGGGGTTAAAATTAGGGGGTTAGGGGTTAGGGT